CCAACACAAACTTCCTGTAATATCCACACATTCCTGAGAATGTGCGCACTTCCGTCACTCTCGTCGGCTCTGGATAAGCTCGTATCTTCTCAACCTTCTCTGGGTCCGTATGTACTCCTGCCCCCGACAACTGGTGAATTAGACTTTTACCGTCTGAGGTAGCAAACATGTTTTTGAGGTTTCAGTTTGAAAATTCAGAGCTTTCTGCAGGGCCTCGGAGACTTGTCTCAGCACTTCCAGATGCCTCTGCTCACTTTCTGTTGCCGCTAGGATGTCGTCGATATAAACGATTACTTCCTCTGGTTCTTCAGTTCTGTGAGCTCGGTGTTCATGAGCCGTTGGAACCTCGGCAGTGACGCACGTAAGCCAAACGGTAGTACCTTCAATTGAAAGAGCCCTTCCGATCTTGTGAACTGCGCTTGCTTCCTTTTTGCATCCTGAGACATGGGGATCTGCAAATATCCCTACGCCATGTCCAGAGTGCTGAACCATCGCCTTCCCTTCAAACCTTGCAGAATCACGTCAATCCGATATCTCCGGTATCAACATCGAGTACCACCAAGTTGTTCTGTGTTAACTCCCTATCTTCCACAGCGAATACCGAGTTGTACTTGTTTACCAGCTCCCATAATTCCGGTGCATTGCCGTTGAGTGAATCCCGATTTTGTTTTAGCATGCTTTCTAGCAACTGTAATCTTTCTGCAGAAGCTCATAGCCGGCTTTCCCATTGTCAGCATATCCGACGTAACCTCTTTGGCTGCTACATGAGCGTATTTCACGTCCTCTTCCCACTCGCCGACATCCTGCCCTGCTCTCAGCACCAGAGGCTCCGTAGCAGTATTCCACACAGGTACCTCCGCCAACTCCTTTCTCATTTGTTATGTACAAACCGGACTGAAGCCCCTTCACTTTCCAATGTAACGGACTTTTGGTGTCATCTGTATCTCCTTTGACAGTGATCCATCTCATCTCTCCTGGTGCTATGTAGATCCGTCTGCACTCCAACACTGTTGGGCGGATTCGCTACCTTTGCCGTTTCTGATTCGAGACCTCGGATTCCCCCATACTAGGACTCCTCAACAAATTAGCCCGGTAGACGAGCACGTACCCTAGTTCCCCTAGGTTCTGCCCACTAGCGTACTAGTTTGAAGGTCCGCTACATGCATCTTTACGGTAATCGCGCCTTCACCTAGTCCGGATAACGGTACCTCTACCAAGCTCGTGAACTTCATGCGATTTCCTGAAGCGTCCGGATGCGTATGCTTCCGTCCACCTCATGCTCCCGTAGCCTGTGACCTTCTCTTTGAGCTCACGAAATACGTTTATGGGCAAAATTGATACTTCTGAACCAGTGTCCAGTAATGCTACCAAAGCCTTACCACATACGTCTACTTTGGTTATGCACTTCTGTCCGTGCCTTAACTTTCCCGTGCTCTGAGCGACTCATCGTTCACGTGCTCCCCGAGTTGCGCGGCTCTGTTGCCCCTCCTGACAGGACCCCCACGACCACATTCCGCACCTTTTCCTTTTTAGAGTCTTTGGCTTTGTGCCCTCTGCCCTTGCAGTTATCTGAGTTCCACCTGACACACTATGTTGTTGCACATTATCTAGTTTTTCATTCCTTGCTGCATTCTCCTTCCTAGCTTCCTGCATGGTTCCCAAGGTTTCCGCTCTACCGAATCGCTGGTTCCTGACCTCATCTTGCCTTACTGCAGGCCTTCTAACAACTGCAGGCCTTCTAACATGTTGCTCCTTCACATTTTCCAGCGTCAGTCTTCTTCTTTCTACGTGCATTGCCGCTTGCTTCAAGCTTGCATACGCAGTACCCCCGTCCTTCTCCATGGCTTCCATGAAGTAGTAGGACTCCGGCCAATGGACTACCTGTTCATACAACTGGTGCGCTCTAACCGTCGACAAGGTTACCTCATCCAGTTCAGGGTATGCTTTGGCCGACAATCTCTCCAGCTCTACGCAGTACTCCGCTATTGTTTGAGTTTCTAATTTCTAGGACGCCTCAGTTTACCGAGCGCCAATACCTTCTTCGTTTGATCGTCTTCCTTATTGGCCCTGGACAAGGCTGCCATAATCCCTTCAAATGAACCATGTCTTATCTCACGGGGCAATGCTTCATATTGAGCTTTAGCTTTACAACTTAATTTGGACTTGACATAATCCGAATTCCCTACATGACTAGCTATGTCTGGGACACTTCAACGAAAACGCCTCCATGAAGCATCCCAGTATGTCCTCTATTCAGTACCCGAATTAGCGCCGCCACATCGCGGTAATGCTATGCATTTTAGATACCGATCCATATGAATGCCCAAATGATGCACTTCCTCTATTGTTACATAAGCTTAGGGAGCTACGAGAACTTTCGCATTCACTATCTTCGTATATACTTGACGTAACACTGGACTCACCGGCCCTTATCTGCTTCTTCCTTGAGGACGGATCCATTCCTGCAATATCAGCGATTCGAGCTGTGCCAATGTTTTCGCCCATTCTGCGACGCATTCACATCAGGATTCAAGTCCAACTTCAGCCTACGCAAAGACTCCAGTTTATGCTTAACTTTAGTGTCGGGTTCTCTACCTGGCAAAGCTTCACGCCTCATTTCCTTTTCACGCCCTCTGAGCTCATCCAGCTCCTCCTCCTTGGCCTTCAGCCATCCTGTAATGCGACTACGGTCATTTGTTTTTGTATTATCGGGCCATTTGCTTTTCATCTTGAACGCAACTACTCACCACTTTCTCTTGAGTCCATTTAGTTATGCTCACAATTTTGTCCACTACCGCCACCTTTTCCACCAGGCTTCCTATCGCCTCTACGAATACTAATTGTGTGTTGCACTCCAGCGAAGCCCTCAGCTGCCTACAACTCAGCTGTTTCTTCCGCCCACTTTTCACAAGCCTCTCTTAGTCAGACACCTCCTCAACAGTTCCTACTGCTGCTCTGGTAACGTGCTCCAGCCTTTCTCCCCTGGGATCGTTAGTACGCCAGTGCTTACTGGCCTCCGCCACTAACAATACTTCTAACTCTTTAGTTTTTTCTGTAGCTGCTCCATACCCTAAGCTGTTCCAGCTTATGATATCCAGCTCGTCATAAAGCTGGCGCTCCTGCGCCATTTCTATATCCTGGCTCTCCGTCATTCTCTCCGCTTGTGCAACTTCACCTGCAATGGGCGTTTTGCTACTCGCTCTGTCAGCGTCCTTCAACGCCTCTGATTCTTCCATTGACGTAGCGATCAGCAATTGCGGGTGCCAAATCTCTTCTTTCCACAGAGATCGCCAGCCCCGACGCACACGGCGTCGCCGGCGATTCCTTTCCAAAGATAGGGATCTGGCTACCACTTGGTCTCAGCGAGTTGGGCTCTCTTCCTGGGAGCCACTTACTTACTATCAGTGCGTAACGTTAGTGGCCACTCGAGGACTAGCCAAGTAGCCGTAACGATAATAGCAAAAGTAAGTTGTTCCACTTGACTGTGGGCTTGGCCCCAAGTTGGATAGGATAGGAAACTGTACCGGTTGGTTCAACCGCCTGTATCAGTAACCGGCGGCTGTACGGTACAAATGGTAAAAAATGTGAAGAAAACTTCTTTATTATTACGGACAACAAAAAAAAACAGAAAAAACGAATAGTGTGAATGTTGAGGTATAGAATACTATCACTCGAGACACAAAAAAAAAGACTAAGGAGGACAGATGATCTCTCCGAGGAGAAGGTGTGTGTAGGCAACGGCGGGGGGAAGGCCCCAAAAAGTAGACTAAATCAGAGAGTTACCTTCTGTTAAAGTTGTCCCCTTTAATATCGTGCGCATTCGCGCCCAAAACCATTTCCGACCACCCACTCGATCGGCTGATCACTTTGTGATCTCCTGACATCCAATCGACTGCTCAATCTGAATCAAATTAGGTTTATTATTATTTTCCTTATGCTACACACCCACTCATCCAGAGTGAATGATATGGTGCGCCGTATTCTCGCTAGGCGTACCATATCACTTTACTTGGCCCACCATCGCATGCGCTTTCTAGGTCTTGGAAGGCTACTTGCAGGGGCTGTGCTAGTTACGACCTTGTTCCAGCAAAAGGCGATCGGCATGTATGGCGTCGATGGTGCTAAAGATCACCACGAGCCCACAACAGATTTGTAGGAGCTATGACGATACTGCCGAACAATCGTGCAGCAAAAATCCGTATAAGAGTTTTCGATGGTGTGCGCAGAGAGACGAAAACAAACTGAACCGACGTAGTTCGGAGGCACTAGCTGGCCGGTGCCTTTCTTCTCCAATAGGATTGTCGGTGCTCTGCTCCAACCTTTGGCTACCTTCTTCATTTCGACCGATCTGGTTCAATGCTTCCTCAGGCCACTCGTGCCAGGAGTAACCACTGTGACTTCCAAAGTATCCAGTTAGGCAAGGGCCCTAATGCATAAGTGAAGTGCTTTTTCGCGTCACGTGAGGAAGCCAGATAAGAAAATTTACGATCAGCTAAGCCACAAAGTGAAATATCTCTTCTTAAGAAACATTTCAAGGCGATTGAGTTTGTTATGAAGGCCGTTTGACCACACGACGTGTTGTATCGAGCAATGTGTTCTTCAGCCTATGTACCCCTCAGATATATCTTGGTATAACGGATGGAAGTGTAGGATTCAGAATATCGTATGAGGTTGGATATAACGCAGAGATGTTGGTAGGCGTGTGAACTATATCGTGTCCTCTGGGAGATATATTTTATTTTGACCATATTTGTCTTGTAACACTTGATCAAGTGATCAGTTGTTCAAACTGAAATATCGCACGAGTAAACTGTGTGCCATGTTCAAATGCCTCGCCTATTCGTCTCGGGGATAAGTAGCGTACCTCTAATAGAAACCTCGCGATGAGCTGCTCTTCGTAGTGGAGTTCTGGGAATGAATTTGTGGTGAGCAGCAACTTATGACGTGAAAAAAGAAGCCAAATAACGGTCGAAAAGTCAAAGCAATTGCGCTCTCCTTCCGCAATAGACGATTTTGTACCAAAGAATCGACAGCGTGACCGACTGCGTACATACCTCTACTCGCAATTATTTCTTGCAATTCTCCATGCCTATATTGTACAGCCTTGAAAAAAGAAAGGACAGTACAATAGAAATAATGTATGTATCATAGAGTGGTTTTAAAGGCACATTCCGCGATAAAATAAGGCTATGACCTCTCAAATGTGTCGGACGATCCGGAAGGCGATTTTTGAGGCTGCGCTACTTTCAAAATGTGAAAAACGGCAAGAACTCCGCTAAAAGCTGACTAATTAGGCCCATGGACACCCCTTAGGCCCATGCCGACCCTCACCGGCTGCTAGCTACTAGCTAGTAGCCACTATGTTATCTTTCTCTATAACATTTCGGACTGCTTTTTCTGCTGCTTTTCTCCGCTAATCAGATACTTAGCACTTTTTTGTGCCTATTTGAGTTCCGTTTCCCGCAATTTGCGGTCGCGAACTGTGCCTTTAAGAGCTATGAATTACCGTGCTATACTGAGCGGGAGCGGGACAAGACTGGAAATGGAATTCCAAGGGAATCAATAAAGCTGCATTATTATCAGAGCAAAGCAACGCGAAAACGACTCCTGCCCCGTAAAATGGATTGCTTTTTACAGCCTGTGTCTTTCTGAGAAAAACTCCACAGCAGAATGTATTTGATAGGTTGACTCCTTCGAAGACTACGGATTAAGGGCAATGTCCTCAAACCCCCCGACAAACAACATTTCTCTCAATAACCCGGTCCTTTATGCACTTCTGAGGCGTGTGCAGCTTTATAGAAGAAAGGCGAGTAGTGAATAATCACCACTTTGAACACCCAGAAATTGTCGATACCCAGGCCTGAGTGGGCTGTCTACAGGGTTGTCGATTTCCGTCATTCCGCGTCTAAAGTCGTGCTTCATAATTAAGGATGAATGATCCAAGGTTTCTAACAAAATTTTTTACTTGGGTCCTATTTTGGCAGTTGTAATAAATTTAGATGCAATGGAAAAATCGTTAAAAAAGTGCGCCTTCACAAAATAGAAGTATTTTGTGCGCGCCCATACTTTTAGTCACCCTCTACATAAGTATACAAAAGTAAGTATGGGGAATTAGAAGCAACAAGTAGCGCCCGATTACAATATCGATGGTGCAGGGGCAAAATCTCGGATCAATTCCCGCCCGGATCACAGGGCACACCATCGCATTGTGATGAATTCCTGCAGAATATGATCCCCTTCCCCCTAATTCCATCCTCTGGTACGACCCCCCCCTCATCCTACCCACCGCTCTCCTAGATTTTCCCAACTTCCTTTTCCTACCACTTTTTTTCGGCATCTCCGAGAAATTTCTGGTTTTTCCCTAAATTTTGCAAACAAGAGGGGAAGGGGAGGGGTGGGGGGTAGTCGTCAGCAACCATCTACTATTTTAACTACCGGATATATAATATGTAGAAGTTGTATAGAACATTGTGGCGCCACCAACTAGGGGGTGGGCGGAAGGGGGGGGGGAAGGGGCGGTGTATAACTCCAGTGAAACGGGAAAAACCGCAAAAAGCCAACAATGTATATAATTATTTGTATATAATTTCGTATAATGTGGAAATGAGAGGCAAAAACGTTGAACTGCACATTGGCTAGCCTCCGGAAACCATTCTGTAGGTCAAACCGCGATTTGAACTCACAGTGTTCATCAATGAAATTAGGATGTGTAGCGCTTCACGCGTCCCAAGTGGTCAATCAAGTCGTATCCTCCACCTTTATTTTTAGTCCGTATAAAAACATGCAGTTGGATGTCCGGAAAAAAAACGTACCCCTGCTTGTGAAACAAGAGGCAGCTTACTCCGACCGTTAGTGAGATGTTTTTTCTATCGAGTGCGCAGAGTGGAGCTGTCATACCAGGAAGCAGTACATGGGGTGATGGCCTAAACGTTTCATTCGAAGCTGTCTCATATTTGTCTTTCTGCGGTGGCCCAGAGAATGAGCTATTTCAACGTTTTTTTCTATGAGGATTTTTTTCCACGAAAACGTCACATGAGGTGTGTAGAGGTTCGCAGGATCCGTTCCTAAAAGATGGCCCTACAGTTCCTTGGGTCACGTCTTCAGGATTTCTTTTTGCATAGTGTACATGTGGGTGAAACTTGCCAAGGATACGGCTTTCAATTCATTGACCTTCTGTAAAAACCCAGTAAAATTTCGAAAAAGTAGTCATAGGAGCTCCATTCAGGCGATAAACGCTCTTTTCACTATGTTGCGTTCATCTGGAGGCGAGAAATTGGCGCATAAGGTTGATCTGGTGGAAGACATTCTACAAGACCTCCTGGATCTCGATCACATTGTGAACCTGCCCTCTTCACTAGGTGAGCCGGAATTCTTAATCTTTTCTTGATTCCTCCTTTGGATTTCTATGCACACTGAGAGCCAGCCTGAGCATGCTCCCTTAAATAACTTCTCACTTACTTCACTTATTACTCTACTTCATAAACAAAAGAAGAAGGCGGAACTAGTGAAGTAATAAGCGGTGCCGTCTAGCATGCTTATGGCTCCGGACGACAATCCTGGATCAGCTCCCCCTCCCCGGCCGATCGAACCTTTCATCAGTCCGTGCTCTTTGAAGACAGTTCCCGCGATTAAGTGTCATGAATAATTGTTGTTCAATTATGAAGCAGTAGGTGATAAGTGACTCCCAAGAGAAGGAAAAAAGTGAGGACAATGTTCAGGAACACCATCAACAAAAGCGCTCCCTTACAGTCACTCGCCCTGCGGTCGTTGTGCAACCCCTGGCTCACAAATCACTTTTTCGCATCTCCCAGTAGATATCATCCAATGCAAAGAAAAGAATACGAAAAACAACAAAAACACTGACTAAAAAGAAACTCTTAAAGGCAGCGCCCGCGTTCATTTGTTGTTCTCACGCCCTCTCTGGATCTAGTAGCTCCCCCTATGAGGATGGTGGACGTGCAACCCAAAAATGCGACGGAACAGCGGCGTCCGCCCGCAAAGAGCCGACGGCTCCGCCCACCTGCCGACCACGCCACCCAACTTCATTTCTAATGGTTGCCTGATGGTGCGGTTGTTCCATTGCTGCTTCTCTCCACGTGGAGTGGTGAGAGTGAGGTGATAAGGGAAAACAGCTGATATGAACAAGTGGAAACTCGTGCAATCACTCCTTCTCTTCGCCTTAAGCACGTACAACCGTTGTTCGGTATGAAACTCCTTCTAGGGCATTTTGCGTGTTTTCTCTTCGATTTTTCTTCACTAATAGGCTTCTTGCTACCTCGCTGTTACTACCTGAGCCGCATACTCATTAAATTTGAACGCGGGCGCTGCCTTTAAGTGCTTGCGAACTTAGGAGTACAGTCAGTGCGCATGCTTTTGGTGCAGGTCGAGCTTTTGCACCACAAAAAGTTCACTCGTAATTTTAAGTGTTTTACCTTGCGAGATGGTTGCAATTGACTCTATGAGCTCCCAATGAACAATGTAATGAAGAAGAGCGAATTGCTTCCCGATTAGTGCCCGCCACCCCAAGAAAGAACAATTGAGCAGCCCTGCGTCAGATGTGGAGAGGACATATAGCAAAAGGGCGGTGCAACTGAGTTAGAACTACAAATTTCGGCGGTTATAGAATCCTCCTCGCTGGCTGCGGAATCGCGAAGGTGGGACAGTCGTTTAGCTGGGGCGAGGGGCTGGTTCTGGACGCCCTCTGCTGTGTCAGCTAAGGATACATATATGCCGTACTTGCAGGATATTCGGTACTGAGGGATCTACAAAGGTTCTAGCCATCAGAGGAACTGATAGCTGCCATTACTCTAAGGCCCTAGATCCCAAGTGGATTACTGAGAATGTTGATTGATCCTTGAGAAACCTTGGCGAAATCCGCCCTTTCCCGTACAAAAAGTGGTTGAGTATTTATGAATTAAACATACCATAGGGATGGAGAAGGTGTTATGCCATGGAGACATGTGGTCCACGAATTTGATTTGGAGGAAAGGAAAAGAACATGTCGATTTGGCAGCCGTCATAGACTTCCAGGTACATTTTCGCAAAACACATTAATGCTTTCAACTGTTTATCTTACTCGCTAAAAACGATGAGAACCTGGTTCCACGCACATATCACAACAAAAGGGATATCTGTTGGATATGTGATGCAAGTGAAAAGCATATTTCCCTACCTGAGATCTGAATTAATGCACAGCTATGGGAATTTTATCTATTGGAAGTAACCGCAGTTATAATCAGCAAACTTTTGTCAATGTGAATCCGACTTCTCAACGGCAATCGTAGAACACTGGAACTAGGGAACCATTGAACTCATCAAAGGCGATTGAGGCACCATCTTGCTTTCTATTTCTTTTTCTTTCTTTTTTTTTCGCGAGGAATACTTGAAGGAGTGATTGTCAATGGGTGAGGGTGAATGTGGTGAATCGAATCGAGTGTTTGTATTATAACTCGTGCAGATTTTGCATGACGTTTGGCGTTGTCATGAGAGAAGATCCTTCTTTCTCTGGTTATGTATGCAGGGAACTTTGCATTAGGTTGTCCGGAAAGTTCTCAGCGTTTTGTGTTACTATTTTTTGTACATTCATTGCTGATTGAAAACTCATTCTCCCTTGCGTCTCAGTAGTACATCCTGAAGAGAATTCTTTGCGCTATCTGATGGTATAATTGCCATTGCTTGGAAACCCCCTTTTCCCAAGACTTTTTGAAGCATGTCAAAAGAGCAACTTCGGACGATATTTTTCTTCAACTACAAATTGGGTCAATCCGCAGTCGAGACAGCTCGACAAATTAACCAGGTGTGGGGGCCCAATAGTGTTGGAGAAAGCACCGTGCGACAATGGTTCGACAAATTTCGTTCTGGAGATTTCAGCCTTGAAGATGAACCTCGTAGCGGTCGACCTAAAGCAATACCTGACGAGGATTGAAGGCGTTTGTGGAGGCTGACCCATCCCAAACAGTTCGAGAGATTGCAGAAAAGCTAGGCGTTGGCAAATCCACTGTTGCGGATGGTCTGAAACGCATTGGGAAGGTGAAAAAACTCGACAAGTGGGTGCCCCACAATTTGAGTGACCGGCAGAAATTGGCACGTCTCGAGGTTTCTTCTTCACTGCTTTTGCGCAACAGAAACGACCCGTTTTTGGACCGAATTGTCACCTGTGATGAAAAGTGGATCATGTATGATAACAGGAGACGTTCCGGACAGTGGTTGGATGCCGACGAACCACCGAGGCAATTTCCAAAGCCGAATCCTCACGAAAAAAAGATTATGGTCACAGTGTGGTGGTCATCGGCTGGTGTGATCCACTATAACTTTTTGTCACCAGGCCAAACCATCACAGCAGAGTCCTACTGTGAAGAAATCGACGAAATGTACCGAAAATTGCGTCAGCTGCAGCCAGCACTTGTCAACAGAAAGGGTCCGATTCTTTTGCATGACAACGCCCGCCCACACGTTTCACAAATCACTATCCATAAATTGAATAAATTGGGGGTTGAAGTTCTACCTCACCCGCCATATTCTCCAGACCTTTCACCAACCGACTATCACCTTTTCAAACATTTTCAGAACTTCCTTGCTGGAAAATACTTCATCAATCAGGACCAGGCAAAAAAGCCTTCGTGGATTTCGTGATTCTCGACCACCCAGTTTTTTTGATGGGATTTATCGACTGCTGTCACATTGGCAAAAGTGTGCTGATTCGAACGGTGCTTATTTAAATCCGATGAGTATTAAGAAAGTTATGATCGTTTAAAGTGAAACACTCAAAACGCTGAGAACTTTCCGGACAACCTAATAGTTCATAGTGCACTTCATCAGGTTACTGACAGTACTGTTCTGCTCAGCGGACCCTGCGATGGCGCGGGACTAACGCTACGACACTAAATCGTTCACATACGGTTCTCATCCCGATCTTCCTTTTTTGTAGTTGTCTCTTTAGTAATTCCCTATAGCTTCTTCTCGGTTCGGCCTCTTGGCAGATCGTTGCCTGTTATCGCGAGTTGTTGATTTCTCATTGAAGGATGCCATTGGCCCGCAAGACGGATCACTTTTTTCTCGTTTTGCGCAGAGGTGGGCCGATGACATTGAATACTCTGACTATCAGTTTATGCAGAATCCAGTTCTTTAGCTTCTTTCATCTTTTCTTTCCCCTTTTTTCCTTCACGTTGCAAATATCTGTAGTGTTATCGACGCGTCGGCAATATCTCGTGCACTTTTCCGCGGAACAACATTAATTGTCAAGTGTTCACATTCGGGTGTTGGTAGGCGGCTGGCATGTGATTCGCCATCAAGGTTGGATACTTTGATGGTCCTTCAGCTGGAGCGATCTTCAGCGGGGACCACAGCTCTTCCATTTTGCACGATCTCTGCCGACTTGCATTCAATGTGGTGGACCGCGTTCTCTAAACTATATTGGGAACAAGTTGAACCAAGGCGTTCATTTCGTGTTTCTTGGGAGCCATTCTGTGACGCGGAGATTTCAGCGGCCATGCGGCGGCGCACGTGACGAGCCCAGCGGTTACAAAGCGCATGTAGTGTGAAGATCTTTTATTTGCGACTGCTCCCTTAACTCTATCAGACGTTGTTGCTGTTGCTGGTGACGGCCGACCTTCAAAGACGTCTCTCCAGTGTACGATGCATCGTTCGCATGACATTGGTGGTTGTCCTATTTTCAGGCCAGGTCTGGCGGCGTAGCAAAACTTGGTAGCACTGTGGCGTCAAATATTGAGGCTCTGAGATCATGGTATACAATTTGCTCCATTTCTTTACGCATCGCTGCAAAAACTGCCCATGCGGCTTATTTTAGAAGAGATATTGTTCAGCTGTCTTCAGAGCTTTCTAGATCCACGTAGGAACCCACTCTCTAGCGAGCAACTCCTGCCAAATTCCTATTCCTCACACCACTGATTCACTATCATCTTCGCCTTGGACATATTCATTTCCAAGATAATCTTCTGATCAATCACGCCGAGCTCGTTTAAAATGCCTTGGATTTCAAGAATTATTGGATATCATCAGCCAAAACATGGTTACCGAACCTTTCCCCTTCAATTCGGTTTCCTTTGTCATCCCAGTTGAGGTTTGACATCGCATACTGTAATGCTGCCGTGAACAACTTCGGGGATATCGTGTCTCCTTGCCGTAATGTTTTCTCAAAGGGTGTATATAACTTGCGCTCGAAGAGTTGAACGGTCATTGATGTGTTCGAGAGACTGAGACGAGTGTAGGCAGAGGTGACCCCGGCTTGCACCAGGGCGTCGAAAAAAGCATCTATCTCTGCAGGTTCCGAGACCTTTTTGTAGTCCACGAAGACAAGGACAAGACGAAGATAGCACTCGCAGCTCATGAGCTGAATTATCGCCTGTGTTTTGTCCATGCAAGAAAAATTCTTGCGGAAGTCGTCCTGTTTCACTGGCTGATAGTCGTCTAATCGTCTAAGGCGTCTTCCACACGGTTCAGTAGCTTCAATCTATGAATGGATTCTATATCAGAGAGAGCATACTGATAGGCCGGTACTTGGCAATCTCCTCCCTCTCACCTTACCTGAATAGAAGAACAGTCGTTGATTGTCTCTTTTGCTTTGGAATCATTCCTAGTCTTCAGAAGTGATTGAAGTGCAATAAAAGAAGTAAGAGAAGAGAATAAAGTTAATTCCTGCACGGAGGAGATTGGCCGTTTGCCATCGGCATCAGAAGTAGTTCCTTTCTTCAAGCTTTCATGCATGTTTTTTGCTTTTTCCCCACCTCTGATTCCAAGATTGGAGGAATCTCTTCAGCAGGCGGTAAAGAGCATCTTGAAACAGTTGTGGAAGAGCGGAAAAGTTGTGTGTAGAATTCCCTGACGATGTTTGCGATAGATCTTCTATATGTTTGTGCCTTTCATCTTTGTCCATAAGTGCTGAAGTGAAAATCTTTTGAACACTGAGATCCTCTTTACACCGAACGCTCGATCTTGTTTCCTAAGTTTTCAACAACCTAATTCTTCTGTAGACCAGAAATAGTTCTCTGACAGCGAAGCGGCACACATTGTTGATGGTGACATATTTCAAGCACCCTCTCCCCTCGCTCGCCGTCAAGAACTGCCCCTGCCGTGATTACCACAACGATGGAATGCCCTGCTGCTACGTCGAATAGGCTCCAGCGTCGATTGGTTAGATGTGATCAAATTCTTTCCGCGTTTGTCCATCGGGCTTTTTCACGTCCTTGTCGTCTTATAGGGTTCCCCCCCCCCGCTCATGAAATTTCCGTGGTAAAGGCAGCATGTAGACGAAAAGGTGAGTAGCTGTTCTCATTCTCATTTCGCAGTTGGATTCGTGAGGCTCGAGTCGCCAACCGACGTCGTCGTGCCTAACATGGCATTAATATTGCCAAGAACATATTGTAGGTTTCTCTCATTCTGAACAGTCCTGTCTCTTCTAGAAATTAGTAGCATCCTTCGCTCTCCTCGCGTGTGGCTAAGGAGATTAGCATGTATCCGCTGATAATAGATATGGTACCATTATTTTTGTTCTGTAGACGTAGAACAGTGACGTTCATCAAGGTTTGGTGAGAGCAACTAGGTGGGCGTCAGTCGGGTGTACGAGAGAACCAACCTCCGACATTTCTGCCATCCGCCTTGGTCCTTAAGAGCTGGTCGGCTGTGGTCGTTTTTTAGTGGTTTCATTCTGCCCATCGTCCCCCTGTAACGAATGGCATATTATTTGTTCTGAGGACTCCTCATCGAAGCGTTTGAACTTCAGCTTCCGAAATGATGGCGCGACAATGATACGCGCAGACGAACAGGCAGTCCTTACGTCCCTGGATGTGGAAGATTCCAGGGTACCTATTTCGGTTATTTCGATGACGTAATGATTCCCTGGAAAGATAAGCCACTCATCTGTAGAGGCTACCCCAGATGTTGGAAAAGAACATAAGCGAGTGCGCTAGTAAAGCAGTTAAGCGTTGAGCAGATGTCCTAGACTCGATTATCCTTTGTTCCTTGCTAGGGATGCAAGAGACCCGCCTACACATGCATGCCTTACTATGCTTACTACGCAGGCATTTGTACCATTAGCCACCACTAGGTGATGTACATCTTATCATCATTGTGAAGTGATACATGAAAGGGAGATTGGTAATACTGTTGCAAAACTTCTGGGACAACGTTGTATACTGCATTCCGTGACACTAGTAGACATCTTATTTCGCTGACGTTTCAAGCAGTCTGAGTGGAAATCCGATCTAATTTGAATTCTAGAAAAAGTTTGAAGGGGATCGTGTCCAGGCATCCAAAACTATAGGTTGGAAGGAAAGTCCTGTCAGTGTTTTTTAGATAGCCTACAGTTTTTGATCTTCGAAGCTCGAACATGACGTAACATGCTAAGGTTGTAGAACATTCTCGAAGCTTTTCCACAAGAGGTATATCAAGGCTCCTGCTCTTCCCTGTGTTTATTTATGATGTCAGTTTCACTGGAGCAGCTTCGAGTGATCATCTTCTATGAGTGGCGCCGCGGCACTGGAGCGACGGCAGCTGTCCGTAACATCAACAGTGCATTGGGAGAGGACACCACTACCGTCAGGATCGTTTACTTTTAGTTCGCTCGCTTCGCGAAAAGAGAGACGATCTTCGAAGACAATTCTCGGTCGGGACCCCTTCACGGCGTGGAGGACTCCGCCTTCTCGAACCCGTCAACCAGGATCCGGAGGCTAACACCCGCAGTATTACGACAAGACTCGGATGTAACCAATCAACAGCTTTCAGCCGCCTTCAGGCCCTTGGCTACAGAAGATTCCTCACGCAATGGATACATCATGCTCTAACAGATGGAACGCGTATGCCAGGGTGAGCACATGTCGTTCCCTCCTTCTACACCGTAAGCGGAAGAAGTTTCCGGAGGATATTGTGACTGAAAATGAGAGTTGGGTGCTCTATGATTCTAATCTACGCCGTGCCATGTGGCTACCTCGAGGAGAAGACCCACCCACCTAAGCAAAATCGGACCTGCACCCCAAAAAGCTCCTCCTCTGCTGCCTTTGGGATTCGAGGGGCATGCTGCACCACGAGCTGCTCCCGCAAGGGCAAACGGTCGTCGCTACCGTTTGCACCGCCCAATTCCAGAAACTCGCGCAAGTTCACTGAGAGAAGTGGCCGAGACGAGCTTCGGGTGCACGTCCTCCATGACAACGCCAGAGCACATGTTGCTCAAGAGACTCACCGACCAATTGAGGAGAGCTAAGGCTTCGAGTAACCATACCCTCATTCCAACGCATTCTCCAGACTTAATTCCGCCCCTCATCCTATATTACCTGTTCCGTTCCCCTCAAAGTTTCTTAGGTAAGAAAACCTTCAGCGAATTTGATGGCATCAATCGAGAAGTTGCCTACTTCTTCGACTCGCAGCCTCCTCAGTTCTGGGAGAAGGGGATAGCTGAGTTGCCCATTAGGTGGAGCACTGTAGTGGCTAACAATGGCGATTATATTATTGATTAGTTTTTATTTCATGTTGAGTTAGAAAATAAAAAAGAAAAAATCACAACAGTGACAGGACTTTCTTTCCAACCTACATTTCTAAGGCCCTAGAATCGAGTCCCATATACTGAGTCTGCTGAGAAGATAGAATAAGCTCCCTTACAGTATGTATAGCTAACTGCCATAAAGTATACTCCATATCCTGCAAATGCGGAGGGCGTGACTGCGAATACCATTTGGAGGTACTTAGGACTTTACTTTTGCTGTGATACTGTCTTTCTAGGACAATTGTAAACATGTCTTCGCTTAGCACAAGTCAGGTTGACAGATGCAAATATCTTTTGGAAAACTTATCATCACCCGTTGTATATAATTTGCTTCGTCTGTTTGTTTGTTTGTTTGTTTGTCCGGAAATTCGGTTCTACCAGAAGAACAACTTGGAGAGGTGGGGTCAAGGTGGGGATGGGTAGGGCATGGGGCAAGATGTAAATAGCACCCGTGACCCATGCTAAGCCCCGCCCACAGTGGGCGGGGCATGCGCCGAAAGTTGGCGGAGCCGCAAAACTTAACTCGCTTCCAGAGCAGCCCAGAGATGGGGAAAAGTGAAATAAGATTAGCAAGGGGGTGTCGTTCGAAATAGGCGGGAGCGTCCTTGAGATAGGCGGTGCTTCCCGAGAAATTC